TTATCAGTTAGATGAAGTTTACTAGAATGAGGATGTTATTGTCTTCCAGTGGTTCTCAACCTGCGGCCTGTGGTTCGCTTGCGGCCCACTCAGCACACAGCTGCGGCCCATGTGACATCCTCAGGGCCATACAGGTGGTATATATATTGTGGGGATGCGGCCCACATAACCCACAGAGAGCTGCACACGCGGCCCACAATGATAAGTAGGCTGAGAACCACAGTCTTGGTCTATCTGAAACATGTGATTTACATTGAAAACCCACCTGCAAACCAGCGTTGTAGTTTGAATGGCTGCATGAATTGGATTGAACAGATGCATGAGTCATGGCATTGACCAATGGGAACTCAAGCTGTGTGCACTGCTGCCTTCCTCATCAAAGCTAGTTGATGATAATGGTCAGCTCATTAACCTGCTTCAACTAGAAAAGAGAAGCCTTGGACATGTTTCTGCCATCTCTGCTGACCTCTGAACAGGGAGAGTTTGAGCTATTGGACTGAGATCCCCTCTGATGGGGCATCTGCCCTACACTGGCAGGAAAGGGGTTAAAAGCAGCCCTAGGGAGGCTGCACAGGAGGCAGCCAATCAGAGAAGGGCTGAGGGGAACAGCCAATCAGGGCAAAGCAGGCCCATATAAAAAGGGAGCTGCAGGGTAGAGGCAGCAGTTCTCTGTTGGGAGCCCTGGGAAGAAGGACTGCCAGTACCCTGGACAGAGCAGTGCTGCTAGCAGCGTCTGGGGGAGTGAGAGACAGCTCCTGGCTGGCTGCTGGGGTTTGCAGGCTGAGGCCCTGACACAAGGGCAAAGAGGGAGCTGGCCCTGCAGTGGCCCAGTCCGTGCCGCTTTCCGTGGCTCCCATTGGCCGGGAACAGCGAATCGCGGCCACTGGGAGCTGCAAGCGGCTGTACCTGCCAATGCTCAGGTAAACAAAGTATCTCGCGGCCTGCCAGGGGCTTATCCTGAACAAGCCGAGGCCCAAGGTCGAGAACCCCTGCACTAGGCTACGTAAAAAGCACCAGCAAAGTCAGTACAAACTACAATGTCATACAATGACTTGTTTATACTGTGTACACTGAAATGGAAGTACAGTATTTATATTCCAATGGACTTATGTTATAACTATATGGCAAGAAACAAAGCCATTTTTTAGTAACAGTGTGGCTGTGACACTTTATGTATTTTTATATCTGATTTTGTCAGCAAGTAGTTTTAAGTGAGATGAATCTTGGGGGTACCCAAGACCAGTCAGACTCCTGAAGGGGGTACAGTAGCCTGGAAACGTTGAGACCCACTGGCTTACATCATAAAGTCCAGTTTGCCTGGGTGATAAACAGGGGCTGGAATGTCAAGGGGATTGTCTGTATTCTGTGGTAGAACTAGCCTAGTGATCCAGGCATGCTCTGTTATTCCTGGCTTGGTGAATCTAATGAGAGAATAGCCCACCAGTTTGGGGGTGTCTGCCCTGTTCTCTGGTGATCTGTCCTGAGTCTGGGCGTTCTCCGCTGCGACCCGCTCTAGTTAGCATGGCACAGACACAAGGACTCACCCTTCCGGGTGCAGAACTCCCATTTGCCGTCCTTGTGGTAGTCGCTGGTGGTCGCGCACCAGAGCCGCTTGTCGGCGCTTCCATCCCTGGTGCAGGCCGAGGACGATTTCCCCTTGTACTTAAAGGGGAAGGTGCAGGGCAGAGAGTCTGGACCTGAGAGCGAAACGGGGAGAGAGCAAGGAAAGGCAAGTGACAGTCAGCAGTGGCCATTGAGGTCAGTAGCCAGATCCCAGCTGGCGTAAAGCAGCACGGATCCAGTGAAACCCATGGAGCAATGCCAATTTATGGCAGCTGAGGATCTGGCCTAGGTAACACTGGGGCAGGGATGTGTGTGTGGAGGGGGTGGGGGAAGGAACCAGCTCGATCCCCAGAGACAGCTACACTGCCACTCACAGGGAGTTCTCCATTCTCATTTAAGAATTGATCTGACCCCCAACTCCTCTGTCCCATGCCAACTGGCTTTGATCTGATTTGTTAGCGCAGATTATCTACCCCAGGGATTTAACTGCAGCCCGGCACAAGGGGCCAGATGCTGAGTGCAGTGACTCTAGAATCAGTTTGCAGGCAACCCTGACTACAATGGAGTCAGACCCACATTCTGATCTCAGGATTTATTATTACTGTCCTCCCTCTCCCCCCACAGCAGGGCCGACAATGGCTTTTTGGTTCACTGGCAGCTCTGAAAATGTTTTGGAAAAGTTTCCTTTTGGGTCGCACCCAAACCAACATGTTTCAGATTTTTCATCAGCCTGAAAAAAGTGGAGAAAGTGAACAGGAATGAAATAGCCAGAGTGCGGCCTCGAGTGTCCCCCAGCCTTGGCGAGCGCCCCGGTACCAGAGTCATTCTCGTGAGCTAATCACAAATTTATTAAATGGTTTTGGGTCAGTTGATGCTGCTTTTTTTCCAGCAACTAAACTATTTACCAGGAAACTCACTCAGCTCCGTCACCAGCCAAGATCAGGGCCCCACTGTGCCAGGCGCTGCCCAGACACACAGGGAGAGAGAGTCAAAGCTCACAATCAAATCAGGTTTGACAAAGACTGGGAGGGGAAACTGAGGCACAGGATGGGGCAGTGACTTACCCAGGGTTAGAAAGGAAGCCACTGAGTCAGTTGACCCAGGTTCTGAGACTTGCTGCTGTGTTTTTTGTTTTTTTGTTTTTTTGTTTTTTTGCTGTGTAGATGTACCCACAGCATCTTAGGTGTGTAAGTCCCATTCTCCAAGTCATCTAGACCCAGATTTTTAAAGGCAGTCAGGTGTTGCTGCACTCAGCGTTGCAAAGCCAACTGTGGTGAGAGACTAAATCTCTTTTTCCAAAGGTATTTAGGCACTTAGTAGATGAAACTCACATTGATTGTCAGATTTTGGTTCCTAAGGACTTAATGCATTTTGAAAATGACATTTAGGCTCTTAAATCAGTTAGCCTCGCAACACCAAGGCAGCAACCGCTAAATATCTTTGAAAATCCGGGTATTAGGTGCCTGGGGCTAAATTTTCAAAGGTCTTTAGGCTCACAGAGACGCAGGCAGGTGTCTAAGGAGCGTTTCCCAAGGCACCTTGCTCCAGCTGGAAGTTATGGTCTCAGAAAAGTCTGGCCAGTGGATTTGGAGCTGGGACGTTTCCTTGCAGCAGATGGGCCGGCTTCCCTGGCCTTAGGGCCCAGCGGAATGGCTGCTGTGCCGGGCAGGGGAACGGAGCAAGAGGCGAAGGCAGCCAGGCCTCACCCGTCAGAGAGCAGAACCTCCACCGGCCGTCCCTGTCGTAGCTGCTGGTGGTTGCGCACCAGAGCTTCTTGTCCCTTCGTCCGGCCGTGGTGCACGAGGAGTACGATCTCCCCTTGTAAATAAAGGGGAAGGTTCAGTGGGGGGAGACTGAGCCTGTGAGGGAAGCAGAGAGATAGAGGAACAGACAAACGAGATGCTCTGCTCTCATGAAGGCTCAGACCAGCTTTCTGTCTAAAGCTCGACTCTAAGTATGCTAAAATCCACACGGTTACTCTGATTGCCTTGAAACTTGGTGTGTCTCATGAGGACAGGGAGTTTGATTTCTGATCCAAATTTGGTCCCATTTGATCAAGGGGTCCCCAAGTTACAGCCCCTCTGAAAAAAACAGCTTGGCTTAAAATTGACTTTGTTGGCAACTTTTTTTTTTTTTTTTGCATGCGGCTATAGATGAAGCTGGGGCCCAGACCATCGCGCCGGGGCCTCAGCCGTTTGAGGCTCACTCCCAGCCGAGGGCACGGCCCCACTTCTCCCTCTGGGGAGAAATCAAATTAAAGTGCCATTAGCCAAAGTTTGGATCTCCAGTTAGTCGCGGGTCGAGCAGCTTTAAGGCTCATGCACAGAACACTTTGCACTGTGTGTGAATAGCTCAGCATGGACTAAAGCAGCCAATGGACCAGTATAACACAGAGTTAGCACCGTGCGTTCAAACCCGACCTAGGGCAGAAATCGGAAATTAAACAAGGCATCTTTTTGCTACGTGCTGCCCCTGCCACAGGAGAAATGAAATCTGAGCACAGCCGAATACCCAGGCAGAGCTGAACAGAGAATAAATTACAGGTGCAAATCCTCACTGGGAGGGGAGGGTGAGGGGGTGGAAAAGTAGGCAGGAATAGGGAGTGGAGGGGGGATTGTGGGGAGGAGAGAGTTGGGGGGTCAGGTGGAGTGGGACATGGTTTGAGGGACTGGGGGAGAATAGGGGCTGTCTGCCAAGATCTGGGGGGGGGTCTGATCCTCTCTCCCTACCTTTGTGTGCATGTGTTCAAACATGGGAGGCCCCCTGTCCCTCTCGGAGGGTCTGAGCCCCACTGTCTGCCCCCTTTTGTGTGCCAGACTCTGAGCACCCTTGTCCATCTATTGGAGTCTGACCACCAACTGCTCTCCCGTTACGGAGTTGCCAGGTGGGCCACCCCCCAGAGCCACCGGCTAACAAGGGGGTTTCACAGCTGCCCGGCTGCCCATTGTTTCTGTTCCACCCACCCAGATGTGCGGGGAGAGGCAAATCCTCCTGAGGCTGACATCTGGCCCTGGCCCCTGCCATTGATAAACTGCCCCGCTCCAGCTGTGCAGCCCAGACTCAGCCACATGCTCTGATGCTTGTAACTTTGTAGAAGCCGAGCTGGGGAATGGGGGCGGGGGGGGGTATGAAGAGGGATGTGGGGGGCTCTGGAGCAGCGCTCAGGTGTGGAGGTTGGTGCAGGGTGGGATCTCTCCCCCTTGGTCAACCTTCACCCCACTGGGCCATGCTCTGGCGCCAGGACCTTTATTCAGCGGAAGGGACCATCCCAGCAGCTCGGTTCTGAAACACCCAGTTCAACGGCTGCAGCTTTGCCCAGGAACTGGGTTTCCAAAACTGCCGTTTTTCTACGATCCCTCAGTGAACAAGGGCCCATCCTCAAAGGGCTCTTTGCTCCGTGCGCTCCGACGTGCTGATGGAGTAGATCCAAAAGGGGGGAAGACGGGCCCTTTCCCCTCATGTGATGGATTTGAGGGAAGGGAGATGGAGCCAGCTCAGACCCCCATCTCACTCCCTCCCCATTGTCCCACAATTCCTCTCCATTGCTGCTGCCCCAGGCCAAGGTAGGGGGCTCCAGGCTCCCCCTGGATGGAAAGGGGGGGCCAGAGCAGTGCAGGTCTGTGAGAGTCGGGGCCAGGAGGCCAAAGCAGTGCAGCTGGAGATGAGGGGGAAGTTTTAGTTCTGCTCCACCTACCCCCACATCCATGCCCCGCATTTGTGACCCCCCCAAAACGTGCCCCCTGCTGACTCCACATCAGTCCCAGCCCTGCTCCTGCATCCTCCCCCAGCTCCTGGACTGTGGGGCCCCAGAGGACCTCCACCCCTGAGTGAGGCGCAGGCTGGGGAGGGCAGACTGGGCTCGGCTGGGCAGGCAGAGATGGGACACAAGGAGATGGTGTCGGGGGAGCAAAGGGACTCGCGTGCGGCCAGGGCCTGCTGAGCTGGGCTGTGGGACCTGGGGGAGCTGAGGGGAGATTTGCAAGAAACCCAAGGAAATGAACTGCCCATAAACTTCGTTAGCCCAGCTGGTGTGAATGGGTGCGGCTCAGCTGAACCATACCTGGTAAATTCCCACACAACGACGCCAGCACTAAGCGGGGGGGGGGTCTTCACTGTCGTTCTCTACAAACTGGCCCTGAGCTGGTTTGTTTTTGCAGATTATTCACCCCAGAAATGCTGAGGCCTTTAACTGCAGCGGGGCCCAATGGGCCAGGTTCTGACCCCAGATTCTGGGCCCTGTTAGGGGTGAATCTGAAGTCAACCCCAACAGCGGCAGAGTGAGGCTCCGAGCTTCTATTAATTAACCTGGCCACCTGCTGCCATCTGCTGGTGAACAGGAGAAAGACATGTGACTAATGCAAGGAGCAGACCCTAGTTTGCACGTTCCCTGCCAGCCCCACACTGGCTGGATCAGACGATGGAAGCTCACAGAGCAGCACCTCCAGTCCAGACCCCAGTTTCACACTGGACAGTTTAAGGGCTCTGTTAGTCTTTAAGGTGCCACAGGTCTCCTCATTGTTTTAGACAGGTTAGATGTCTTCAAGTCACCAGGGCCTGATGAAATGCATCCAGGATACTCAAGGAGCTGACTGAGGAGATATCTGAGCCATTAGCTATCATCTTTAAAAAGTCATGGAAGACAGAAGAGATTCCAGAAGACTGGGAAAGGGCACATATAGTGCCAAACTATAACAAGGGAAATAAGGGCAACCCGGGCAATTACAGACCAGTCAGCTTAACTTCTGTACCAGGAAAGATAATGGAGCAAATAATTAAGAAATCCATTTGCAAACATCTAGAAGATAATAAAGTGACAAGTAATAGTCCTGTCAAACCAACCTGATAGCTTTCTTTGATATGGTAACAAGCCTTGTGTATGGGGGGAAGCTGTAGATGTGGTATATCTAGACTTTAGTAATGCTTTTAATACAGTCTCGCATGACCTTCTCATTAACAAACTAGGAAAATACAACCTATATGGAGCTACTATAAGGTGCGTGCATAACTGGTTGGAAAACCGTCCCCAGAGAGTAATTATCAGTGGTTCACAGTCATGCTGGAAGGGCATATCAAGTGGGGTTCCACAGGGATCAGTTCTGAGTCCGGTTCTGTTCAATATCTTCATCACTGATTTAGATAATGGCATAGAGAGAACACTTATAAAGTTTGCAGATGATACCAATCTGGGAGGGGTTGCAAGGTCTTTGGAGGACAGCATTAAAATTCAAAATGATCTGGAGAAACTGGAGAAATGGTCTGAGGTAAATAGGATGAAATCTAATAAGGACAAATGCAAAGTACTCCACTTAGGAAAAAACAATCAGTTGCACACAACAAACTGGGAAATGACTGCCTAGGAAGGAATACTGCGGAAAGGGATCTGGGGGTCATAGTGGACCACAAGCTAAATATGAGTCGTCAGTGTAACACTGTTGCAAAAAAAGCAAACATCATTCTGGGATATATTAGCAGAAGTGTTGTAAGCAAGACACGAGAAGTAATTCTTCCGCTCTACTCCACGCTGATTAGGCCTCAACTGGAGTATTGGGTCCAGTTCTGGGCGCCACATTTCAGGAAAGATGTGGACAAATTGGAAAAAGTCCAGAGAAGAGCAACAAAAATGATGAAAGGTCTAGAAAACATGACCTATGAGGGAAGATTGAAAATAACTGGGTTTGTTTAGTCTGGAAAAGAGAAGACTGAAAGGGGACATGATAACAGTTTTCAAGTACCTAAAAGGTTGTTACAAGGAGGAGGGAGAAAAATTGTTCCCCTTAACCTCTGAGGACAGGACAAGAAGCAATGGGCTTAAATTGCAGCAATGGCGGTTTAGGTTGGACATTAGGAAACACTTCCTAACTGTCAGGGTGGTTAAGCACTAGAATAGCTTGCCTAAGGATGTTGTGGAATCTCCATCATTGAAGATTTTTAAGAGCAGGTTAGACAAACACCTGTCAGGGATGGTCTAGATGGTGCTTGATACTGCCATGAGTGCAGGGGACTGGAGTTGATGACCTTCTGAGGTCCTTTCCAGTCCTATGATTCTATGATTTTGTTAATTTTAATTGCTGCGATATCTGTAGTTGAAATTGCAGTATAATTATGAGAAGGATTTTGATTATATAGAAATGAATTTCTGTGCCGTTCTTGAGACAATCTGACATTATGCAAAGGTTTCACTGCTCCTGCTTTGACATTTTTCAGCATGTCCATTCCAAGACAAGTTTGAAACCCCGGCTTTTCATTCGCATTCGGACTGACAACAGATTCCGGAAATGTCACGTTTCCCGTGGAGTGGCCATGCCGCTTTCCATCTGTCTCTGCATGTAGAGTCATAGACCCCGAGGCCAGAAGGGACTGGAGTGACCTAGGCTGAGCCCTGTACAGCACAGGCCAGGGAACGTCCCCAAAACAATTCCTAGAGTAGATCTTTTAGAAAAACATCCAATCTTTGTTTTAAAATTGCCAGTGATGGACAGAGTGGCCCCATTCCTCTCGCTGTCCTGGAACCAGCCCTAGTTGGTAGGGGTGCCAGTACTGGGGCCCCTCTGGCAGCACGGTTACCAACCCGCTTGTGGCCAAAGCCCTTGCCGGTGCGTCCGTCCCTGCGGCGCGTGGGAATCCCACTGGCTCACACTGCTTTGATTTCCGGGCTGTTAGCAATGTCCAGCCTCCATGGGACCCACAGCAATATCAGCCTCCGAACCCCCCTGGCCACAGCACCCACAGGGGCTCTGCCAACGCCAGACAGGCTAGTCACAGACCTGTGGGGCTGAAGAGGCCTCAGCCTGACCCCAAACGCTTTGGGGCTGACTGGCCCAGTGTCTCCCGCCTGGCTGCACTGATGTCCAGAGTCCAGCCAGTGGGGGGACGGGCTGACCTGCTTGGGGACCAAGGAGTCAGGGATGGGGGTTCAGGCTGAGGCCAATCTGGGGGCTCTGTCACCCTGGGCTTCAAGCCATTATTATAGCATATCCCCCTTGCCCCCCCATCCTGCTGTGGGGCTGATCCTGTGTCATCTGGGGGTTGACGGAGCCCCCTATGTGGGCCCCACACAGTCTGTCCCCCACAGGGGGAGGAGGCAGCCATCTTTGTCACCATGGCTCACAAGACCCAGTGCCCCCTCACTGGTGCAAAGGGAGGTTATCAAACCCTGAGGAACTGGGGCAGGGGAGAGGGTTATGGGTCCGGATGCGGGGGTGGGGGCTGCTCCCTGAGCCTGCTGGATGCCACCTGACGGTGTGGCCCTGTTGGGGATGAGGGTCCAGGGGCAGGGCACAGTGAGGTTGGGGGATCCTGGGGAAGGGACTGTAGTTGAGGAGCGGGTCCCAGGCAGGGGTCAGAGTCTGCGTGGGGATAGAGTTCCTGGGGCAGGGGGCACAGTCGGGGGGAGGGGGTCTCCAGGCAGGGGGGTGAAATTGTGGTGGTGGTCCTGGGGAAGAAGATGCACCTGAGGCAGAAGTCCATGGGCAGGACTCACCGTTGGGTGGGGGTCCCAGAGCAGGGGGCAGCATCAGGTTGGGGGGGTCTCAGGGCAGGTGTTCCATCAGGTTGGGTGTCTCCAGGCAGCAGGTGCAGTGGGGTTGCTGGTTCCAGGGCAGAGGGTGCAGTCGGGTTGGGGGTCCCTGGGGCAGGAGGGGTGCAGTCAGATTGGGGGTCCCTAGGGCAGGAGGGGTGCAGTCGGGTTGGGAGTGCCTAGGGCAGGAGAGGTGCAGTTGGGTTGGGGGTCCCTGGGGCAGGGGGTGCAATCGGGGTAGTGTCATGAGAAGTTTCCGTCACACTCTGTTCATTAAACATGTGATGAAGTTGCTGATTCTCTGCTGGGCAACGGAGGCCAATAAAGCTCCCATGGTCCCGGCCCCTGGCATCTCTGCCCAGAGGTTGGATGCCAGGACATCTTCATCCAGCTCTGCCCAGAAAACCTCTTCCCGGGCTGGCTCCCAAGTGACAGCAGCTTGTGCCTGTAGTATAGGAGGCCCCGACTCAGCCCCTGGCACGGCGGCCGGGACAGCAGCCGGCCCATCAGCACCTGGCCCAATAGACCAGCTTCTGTTTATGATCCTGGGGTTGGTTCAGACGGGTACGTGCTGTGTGAGACGCCCGTCACTTGTTCCCTGGTTCTGACCCAGGCCAAAGACTGTTCCAGCTGGATTCCTCTGGAGGGGGTCGGGTGAGCAGATGTCCTGATTTTATAGGGACAGTCCCAATTTTGGGGGATTTTTCGTATATAGGCGCCTATTACCCACCGCCCCCTGTCCCGATTTTTCATACTTGCTATCTGGTCACCCTAGGAGGGGGCCAGGGGCAGAGAGGTCCCTTTACCCCCACAGAAAGAATGAGAGACTTGGGAGGGAGGCCCTCGCCCGCTCCCCACTCCCTGCCACAGACAAGGTTGTTAGGCTATAGATATGCAGGCCTGCCTATAAAGGCCTAGACTTTAAGAACTTAGGTGTATTTTTATCACTTAGCTAGTTACAGGGGTATAAAACAAGAATCAAAATCACAGTCTGCCTGTGTCTGGGCCTTCTCTCACCAGGATAGTCTGAGGCCTGGTTTGGCTAAGCCGCAGAGGCAGCCATAAGCTGGGAAGCGAACGGTCACATCCTCACATCCCAAACCAGTCACATTGAAATAAGGTGGTGTTGGGCTGTTAGGAATACAATCCTGTCCTGATAGTGCCCATCACCACCAGATAAAGATGGTTAAAGAAAACTTACTTTGATAACATCCTGTCTGGCAAGAAATCACTTATCAGTGGTTGTGGTTGTGAAACTCGCATTTCTGTATGTTTTATCTTTATGGCCCCCACTTTTCTATTGTTAATCTGTCTGGTTCTCTAAGTGTTTCTGTCTGGTGTGTAATTAATTTTGCTAGGTGTAAGTTAATTAAAGTGGTGGGATATAATTGGTTAGAGAATTATGTTACAATATGTTAGGATTGGTTAGATAGATTTCAGTAAAACGACTGGTTAAGGTATAGCTGAGAATATTACTATATAAACTAGGGGCAAACAGGAAGTAAGTTGGGATTCAAAAATAAGGAAAAAGGAACTTGGATTTAAGCTTGCTGGAAGTTCACCCCAATAAACATTGAATTGTTTGCACCTTCAGACTTCGGGTATTGTCGCTCTCTGTTCATGTGAGAAGGACCAGGGAAGTGGGAGGGTGAAGAAATAAGCCCTCTAACAAAGCCGGGGGTGCAGGGCCTTGTCTCCCCCACACTCCGTGACACCTTCTAACAAAGGTAACCAGAGTCTGGTCCCTCAGGGGCTGGAGGCTGCCGGCCCCACGGCTCTTGCGCCACCAGCACGGCCACAAGGGCCGTTTCTTTCTCAAACCAAGGTTAGGCCACAGGGGAAGCTCGGCCAGGGCTGAGGCGAGGGGTTGGCGTAAGGCTCAGGAGCGAGGCCTCCCGGCCACACAGCTCTTGTACCACCGTCACCACCGCAAGGGCCGTTTACTTCCCAAGCTGCATTTGCGACAGCGGGGGGAGCTCGGCCAATGGGACCGCCCTGTGCCGGGCACGGTGCGGCGAGGGGGCGTCTCAACCAGCCAGGCTGGGCCATGAATCCCTTTGTCAGGACGAGCACCCCCCCCAGGACAGGCCCCAGCCCTGGCAACAGGTGACATGAACCTCCCTGCCCCATTGTCCCAGCTGGGGCCCAGCTCCCACCCACAGTCTCCCTGGGGTGGGGGCACCGGTTGGGTGCAGATGCGACACGCAGCCCAATGGCTTCCCGGTGGTTAGAGGTTCAGTGCCTCCCTCAAGACACTGTCCCCACGAGGCTGTCATTGGCAGGGATGGTACCGGGAGCTCCTGGAGTGTGGCGGGCTGGAGGGGAGCCCAGCCAGCATCCTGCTCTCAGCTCTGGGTTCACAGCCAGGACAGGGCTGGGACCATCCAGCCGGACTTCTGCATCCCAGTCCTGCCTCCCCTGCATCCAGCCCAGGCCTTGGACACAGCCAGAGCGAGAGCAACATGGAGCAACAGCAACAGGGAATCACCCCATCCTCCGGGGAGCCGCCCCAGCCCCGATTCCTCCCGCTGGCCCCTGCGCATCTGGCTCCACAGGGACTCGAGCGCCCTGGGGCCTTGCTCCGGCTGGCCGGGGGAAGGGATCCTCAGGGGTCACAGCTCCTCTCCTGGGAAGGGGCGTCCAGGCTGGGAGCCAGGGACCAAGCTGAGGGACTGCAGGGCAGACCGAGCAACACCCACATTTCCTGCTCTCCTCCATGCCCCCTACTCTGCCCCCAGCCTCCTGCTCTCCCCCAAACTGCCAGAAATACCTTCTCCGCATCCCCACGGAGACCCCATCACTGTGCTGCTCTACCCCCTCTTGTCCAGCCCACTGGGCATCCTCACTTCGCCCTGGTCCCTCCTTCTCACCCGGATCCCAGCCACATTCTCCTGGGGGTCACTTTGTCCCCAGAGGAAGGGTGAGGGGATCAGGAGGGAGGCCCTGGCCTGCTCCCCACTCCCTGACACAGACAAGGCCACCAGCGGCTGGTCCCTCAGGGGTGGAGCCTGCCGGCCCCACGGCTCTTGTTCCACCACCATGGCCGCAAGGGTCGTTTATTTCTCAAGCCGCGGTTGCACCAGCAGGGGAAGCTTGGGCTGGGGCCGTTGGAAGCTTGGGGCCCAGAGGGGAGCCTCCCACTAACCCAGGCTGGGCTATGAACCCCCTTCCCAGGGCGCCCACCCGCAGAGCCCAGGCACCAGCACAGCCACCAAGGGGCATGAACTGCCCTGCCCCATAGTCCCCGGGGGCCCCACTTGGGAGGAGAAGGGGCGGGCAGACAGGTGGTCTCCTCAGGAGTATTAGACATTCAGTGGGTCCCTCCCATGCCCGGATGGCTGTGTGACCCCAAACACCCACCCCCCGGCTGTGCCTTCAGTCCCGTTGCTATGGAGCCGTCACTCGCTGGACAGCACTGGGAGCCGCTGAAGGACAGGGGGGTGTCTGGGAGCCTGGCCCCAAATGTGATCCAAGCTGGTCCATCCTCTGCTCTTACCCCTCCTGGCATCTAGAACCCGCCCCCATTAACCCTGCGTTAGAACAATAGTGTGCCTGTTTTGGGCCTGATCCCTGTGTGCCGAGCCCCCTTGGCCAACCGGGCACTGGAGAGAAGCAGCCCGGTCTTAGTGCAGGCCATCTCGTCGTGCCCCCTTAGGGCCAGGTGTGGAACCATGGATGAGGCGTGCCTCAGTTTCCTCTCACCTGGGAAGCAGACTTTCCGGTTCCAAACAGCAACGCCTTTGAACAGGACCATCACAAGCCAAACCTTCATCCCAATGTCCCTAGGAGGCTGTAGGGGGCGGAGATGCTGCTGGCATGGGGCTCTTGGTTACATTTCTCTGTCCTGGACCGACCCCAAACCTCCGTAAGTCCTGGATCCTAGCAAAACACCGGCTGGTTTGGCAAAGGCGGTGCTGCCTTTCTGCCAGTCCCTGCAGGGTGTGGTGTGCTTTCCAGAAGGAAAATATTCCCCTGCTGAGCACCAGTATGGAACCCACATGTGTGTGCCAGGCTCCAATCTAGAACCCCCTGAGTGTGTAACAGCTGCCAGTCTGGAACCCCTGCCCCTCCTGAGTGTGGGCCTGGTTCCGTTCTAGAACCCCCAGCGGCTCCTATGTAGAACCTCTGCCCCATCCAGAATGTGCACCTGGCTCAAATCTAGAACCCACACCCTGTCCTGACTCTGCTCCACACTTCAATCTAGAACCCCCTCACTTCTTAGCCACCTCTGTGCTTCAGTCTAGAACCTCTGCCACTTCCCCGAGCAAGTGTTGAACTCCAGTCTAGAACCCCCACCCCGAGCACACTCTAAGCTCCCCGCTAGAACCTCTCCCTACCCCGGGGTGACCTTGGAGAGAGGATTCCCAGCTGGAGCAGCTCCACTGATGTCAGGGCCAACTGGCACCCGCTGGGACCTGTCCCATTGTCTCCAAGTTACACGAATTCTTCTCCCAGCCACTCATGAACCAACAAAAGAGAGGATCCAGCCAAGTCCCCCAGCTCTCCATCCTTGGATCCCAGGGCTGTACCATCCTGCCCTAGTCAGAAGCCTGGCCAGTGTAAATTTATAACCCCGTCCATTCCTCCCTCGAGGTGGAGAGGACATGCACCAGCTTGAGTACACTGAGCAGATTCCCCAAGCTCTTCAACCAAAACACACTGTTTTAGGTAAAATATAAACCAGATTTATTAACTCCAGAAAGTCAGATGATAAGTGCTTACAAGTAGCGAGTGTAGAGATCAAAGTTGGTCACCTAAGAAATAAAATTAATTTGCAGTCTTAGTTCTAAAAACTAAACAGGATTTGAACCAGGCATTGTCTGACCCTGCGTAGCCTTTTATTTCTATTTTACGTTGATCATGTTTCCCTGAGCTTAGCTGTGGTGGCTACAGTTTTAAGTTCAACAGAGTAATCTCTGTTTGTTCTACATCGGGAGCCCATAGGAACCCAGGAAACCATAGGCAAGTAACACATACAATTACAAGAGCATCTAGTTTTTAGCCATTTTATTAACGTTGGCAATAAAATCATAAAAGTTACGGCACATCTAATTCCAAATCAAGATATGTGCCATGCACTAATTATAACTATAGACATAATTCCATCCTCCTAGGCGGTGTTAGAGTCTGTCGGCCCTCTCAAAGTCTGTCGGTCCTCGCATGGATTGATTGTTAATATGGGAGTGGTTCCTGCTGGAGTTTCCCATAGGAAGCTCAATTTGCCTACTTTGGGCATCCTTTTTGATACTGTGACTCTGTCTATACCTACATTCTGCACATGTACATGACAGCATTGTCCCTCTCTTTCTTATTGGTCTATGTTCCCTGGAGACACGAGGGACCCCAAATTCTATAGGCTGGGTAGGTCGATGTACCGCCTTTGTCTTGCGGTTTAAGGCACGTGTTATAAGCACATTTTGTTGTTACAGCATTTTTATGATTTAAATTTAACTTTCCCACTTTTACTTTCTCAATATTACCAGTTTCTGCCTCTTTTCTTAGAATTTTAGGGGATCCGGTTATTTTTAGGTTACCAACTTAATGTTATCTCATTATCAAGGGATGATTAGATTATAAGTGCCCTGTCACATACATATGACAGAATATAACAATGATTAAGACAATAACATACATATATACTTGATAGAACATTCAAATGTTATAGAATCATAGAATCCTAGGACTGGAAGGGATCTCAAGAGGTCATCTAGTCCAGTCCCCTGCACTCCTGGCAGGTCCAGCACCATCTCTAGACCATCCCTGACAGGGTATTTGTCTAACCTGCTCTTAAAAATCTCCAGTGATGGAGATTCCACAACCTCCCTTGGCAATGTATTCCAGCGCCTAACCACTCTGACAGTTAGGAAGTGGTACATAGTTATGGGCTGCTTTTGGAACTTGATGTGGACTTATGCTTTGCATTACCTTATAAGTATTAACATTCTTGTATTCTTTTTTTTAATTCTTTTTGGTTGTTGCTGGTGTTGTGACAGTTGACCACAGAGGTAACGGAATAGGAAGCACATGCGGTAAAGGGTTTTTCGCCTTCCTCCGCAGCGTGGGGCACGGGTCACTTGCTGGAGGATTCTCTGCATCTTGAAGTCTTTAAACCATGATTTGAGGACTTCAGTAGCTCAGACATAGGTTAGGGGTTTATTACAGGAGTGAGCAGGTGAGATTCTGTGGCCTGCGTTGTGCAGGAGGTCAGACTAGACCATCATAATGGTCCCTTCTGACCTTAAAGTCTATGACTCTAACCCTTTGTGCACGTATTGCTTTAAGCTTTCCTTCCATACAACATAAGGCAAAGATGTTGCACACAGTAAGGATATAATGGCCAATAATTTATCCTTTTTATCCAATTCCCATTTTTTCAGGTGTACTGTTTTGTGAATGACCACTATTTAAAATTTTAATTAATGCTTGATTTGCTTTGTTCCTGTTATTGCTAATTTCAATTAAATGTGAATTCTTTCTTTTTTTACAATTGCTTGAGCTGTAAGGTTGGGGGTGGTATAAATTGGAGTACTTTGTCTGACCAAATTCTGATAGTTAGGGTTACTAAGAATAACAGTTTTATTTTTTAAAAGTCGGTATTGGAAATATTGTTGTATGACCAAATGTTGTGGGTGTCACGGAAGCCACATGGAAGCCACAGGCTCGGGGCTCTGGAATCAAACCCAGGCAGGACCCTCTTTAGCGTGACTCCTCTCAGGGCACACACTGCTAGGGGAAGCCTCCTTGGCTTCGACGCCTCCTGCGACCGACCTCGGAGCATTCAGCACCCCTGTTCTCACTGTGAGCTCCCGAAGGGCCTGCACCCCAAACTCGCCGTCAGCAGTGACTCTCAGCCAGCGCTATAAAACAGAAGGTTTATTAGGCGACAGGAACACAGGGTAGAACAGATTTTGTTAGCACAGGAATCAGGGACTCTCAGCAAAGTCCATCTTGGAGGAGGGCATCCAGAGCCCAGAGCCCTGGAGCCATTTTCCCCCTGAGTCCCCGACCGGAGCCTGACTCGTTTCCCCTAGCCAAGCCTCAGTCCCCCTCTAGCCCCTCCTCTGGCCTTTGTCTCTCCCTGGGCCAGGAGATCACCTGAACTCTTTGTTCTCCAACACCTTCAGTTGGCATTTGCAGGGGAGGGGCCCAGGCCATCAGTTGCCAGGAGACAGGGTGTCGGCCATTCTCTGTGCAGATGGCATCACACTGGCCCTCTAGGGCTCTGCAACAATCACACCCCCTTCTCCCACCACCTAGATCAGTGGTTCTTAACCTTTACTGCAGCCTGCACCCCTTTGGTTCTCAAAAGATGTTCTCGCACCCCTTATCAAAAATCGTTGAAGTAGGTCAGTTCTTTAAACCTAGATATATTTTTTGTTTTTATATTACAGTAATCGTTAAAAAATGTATAATGTTAATAAAAACATAGGTTTGATGAAACATAGTACACCTCTACCCCGATATAAC